TATACCATGCGATGGAGCAGGGAAGTGAGGTACTAGTCACTCAACTCAGTTCTCCCTGTATGGTAGTCTTGATTTTCATGCTGTTGGAAAATTCTTGACATCTAGCAAAAAATTCATCTTGGCATGAAGAGTAGTAGGTGTTTTCATTTTATCCTAAGGTATCTCCCTGGTGGTCTAGTGGTTAGGATTCAGTGCTCTCATTTTATCCTAAGGCAAATGGGACCCAGCAAGACATCCTTTCACATCTGGCCAGAGCAGAGGCTGTGCACAGGATCAACTCTTCTTCCTAATAGGGAATGAGCCTTAAATTACGGCTACTTGAGACACACAATTAGAAGAGAGCATGTGAGCAGACAAGTTAGCCTACACAAGCACTCTGCCTTCCCCAAATGCAATGATCATCCACTCCACTCTACCATCTTTTTGCTCCTTTGGCCCAATCCCCAGGGGAGCAGAAGAGGCCCCAACATGCCCAGGGTGGCACCATATAAGAGCAGTATCCACGGACTGGATGGGTTTGCAGTGTTGGACTTAGAAGGAGTATGGAGAACCTGGGGCAAGAAGTTACACATCCAGTTCACATTCCAGCTCCAGGTGGGCCTTTCTGACAACCTTGGCCTAGCACATGCCCCTCATAATCCCAGCATGGTGACACCCTCACTGGGCTCAGAGAATGCTGAATTCAGCCCCAATTAAGAGAGCATTTTGGGGCAGGCTGCTGGCACTAGCAACTGCTGCTATTTTGGGAGTTGTTGAAGACAGTCTCTTCTCTCTCTCTCCTTGTCCATTTCTGTTGTTTTATTTTTCCTACTCTCTCACTTCTCCATTATCTCTAGGTTTTGCTCCCTGAATATGCATGTCTTTTAATCTCTGAGCTTCTTTGTCTCTTTGTCACTCTGTCTCTGTGACTCTATCTCACTCTAGATCTCTCTTGTCAAATCAATTTGACAAACAGTCTCACCACCACTGGGCCAGGTTCTACTGTGCTCTGGGGAAGAAGCCAAATGCAGGCCCTGCCTCCAGAAGCCTTAGGTATGTTTGCCTTTCTCAAATTCTCCCCACCCTTCTGCATCTTGACCAGCCCAGGTCCTCCTACCCAGGAACTTCAGGGCTTGTTTCTGCCAGCCAAGGAGAGAATCACATTCCAGGCGCCCCTGGATAACATAGTTTCTATGCCCCAAGTCCCCAGTCCTGCCATCAGAGTTTGAGGACTTCTTCCTCTTCACCTAGGCTGGGTGCAGGGTTGGTTCTAGAAGGGTAGGGGGAGTCTGGGGTAGGAAGCCACACACCCAATACACATTGCAGCTCCAAAAGGACTGGCATTTCCCAAATGGATCTGTGGCAACAAAGGCTCCAGGATTCCCAAGAGGCCCAAGACCATGCTGCCTCACCTTGCTGAGCCCAGGGAGACCTGGCATGGGGCCTTCAGTTTGAATGGTTTGCTCTCCCTAGGTCAGGTCAGTAGGACATGCCCCTTGTCAATCAAGAGATGAAGAATTCATAGAGGGGAGGGCCTCCTGAAGGGCCCTTGGCCAGCACCATGCTAGGATTATGAGGGTTCCTATTACCATTCTTTTAGTCTTCCAAATCCTTATATCCTCCTCAACCTAGCTCACTTACTTTCTTCCTGATCATCCACCTTACACCACCATCTCCTGCCTCCACTCCTGCAGCCTTGGTAGATTGGGCTCTCAGCACTGATCTCTCCCATTCTGGAACCTGCTGGCTGGATTCAACCTGACCTGTGCTCTTTGGCACAGGGTATGAAAGGTGGATGTTTAATAGGATCTGCCTGTGAACTCTCTGTGGTCCTTCCCCTCTCAGACATTTGGGTTGAAGATCTGCCCTCCCAGGGCTCCCCTGTATACTAGAACTAGGGGCTACATGGTAATTCATGTACATTAAAAGATTAACACTTTCTATGTTATAGGCCCTATTAGACATTTGCAGTTGAATTGGCTTATTCTATTCATAGGCCAGCCTTTTGATTTATTGGCCCCATTCTAGAATTGAAGGACCTGAAGCCAAAATGGTTTCCCAAGTCAAATTTTAGGAACCCAGGTCTCCTGATTCCTCAGCCAGAGTTTATTCTGAACCTCAGCTTCTACCTGTAACTAAAAGAAGAAAAGACTTCTATAGAGAATACTCTTCTCCAGGGAATTTCGAAGTGGGGATCCAGGGGACCTCACTGCCTTTAGCAGCTGCTCAAGAGATAGATCCAGCTGTTCAGAAAGATAAGCCCAGTTGCCAGCACACTGAGCTAGACAAGAGCCTGCACCCTTGGCAGAGCGGAGAAGCCCTTGCTCTTGGCCAGGCTAGGCACAGCTGGTGACAGTTCTCAAAGGGGTTTAGGGGCAAGAGAACTCTGGGGAAGGAGGAGATGCTTTATGAGCCAGAGATTAAGGGAAAAAGACACCAAAAATTCCTGGGTGGTAGGTGGGACTGAGACTCCACACCTGATGAGAAACATGACTGATTGAGGTTGGACAGCCTAGAGGCCGGACAAACAAACTCCAGGGGAGGTTCTTGCCCTTGTCCCAGGTCAAAGGAACAGACACCCATTCACAAATGCCCGCAGCAGGGAACCATGGTGGCTGGAGGGGAATTTGAGCAGAAGTAGGATGGCACTGGTGCCCCAAGGATTCCCCTTCTGCTCCTCCCCCAGCAACTTTTGCTACAAAGAAGGGAGCAGTAGATAATGAATTGGTAACCCAGAATACAACCCTGCTGGGGGCCACCTGCTTTTGGTTGTGAGCCTGGCCAGAATGGAGGCCAATTATCAGCCTTCAGAAAGCTCAATGTGTCCAACTTCCTATCAGAATGAGAAGAGGCCAGAGAATTCTGCATTGTCCTCACACCTTCTGGGTCTGCCTTCATTCATGTGCACCTGCCATCTGAGCCATTGGGGGCAGAACAGAGATTGTCTCACCCAATCTAGAGATGAGAAAACTGAGTCTGAGGGAATAGAAGGGTTTAACCTAAGTGTCAAAAGTCCAGAACTGGACCCTGAGCTTCCTGCTCCTCAGTTGACTCAGTTTAGAAAGGCTAATCAGATCACCTAGGTCAGTGTAGACAACCAGATTATGTGGAGCAAAAGAATATATTTTGGCAATAAACATTGCCATTATTGCCCAGGACCTTGTTTACTGGTAGGACTCAAATCCACAACATTAGTGAGTTATCCTCAGCTCCCTGCACACATGGGTGACAAAACAGAGCCCTGGGGAATCTGGGCAGCTTTTCCAAACCACAGAGGAAGGGCAGAGCCAAGGCCTGAAAGAAGTTTTGGTGAAGCCTAAGCTCTGTTATCTTTCAACCACCACCTGGCAACAGACAGTAGCCTGCATTGTCAGGAATGTCTGGGCCAGGGAGGAAACAACTATTCTGGCAGGACCAGAGGGTCTCACTGCCTGGCTCCCAGTCCAATTTGACTTTCTTATTGCTTCTCCCTGTGCAAGGGCTTAGTATCTCTGGAAATTGGTTCAGAGAATGAGTACCAGCAACATCAATAATTTTTATTATTACTTCTGTCTGCTTCTATTCACACTGCAACATTTTCTGCACTAAGCCTTTACGCACACACGCACACATATACACTTTACACACATCCTCTCACTTCATCTTCAAAACAAACCTTTGAGGTAGGTTCTCTTTTATTCCCATTTTGTAAATAAGGAAACTAATCTTAGAGGAGTAAAGTAACGCTACAATATTTCCAAAACCTGTACAGTGTACACTACCCACAGGTGTCAGGTTGATAAATAGACATCTTTCCAACAGTACGCGCTGCCTGAGAGTGACATGGCTTCTCCACAGAAGGCAAGCCCCTAATCAATGAAGCTTGTGTATTGTGCGGTGGGATGAGGTTGTGCACATAAAAATTCTATTTATAGTTATACTTTTAAGTTAATATTCAATTATTAGGGACACATTTGAAAACAGCTTTTCCTAAGGATTAAGTTCCACTTACCAATCTTATTGCTCCACTTATAAATGTAATAAGAACCTGACCTTCACTTTTTCTTCAATTAAAGTTTGATTAACTCAAGTTGAAAAAAACTAAACTCCCTCAAAACCGTGCCATTTACAACTTAATTAAATTTGCTTAAACAATTTTAGCTACGTTTCAACATTAAATATTTTTTTATTTTCCTAAGTAACTTAAATGTCTAACTGAACAGGCAAAAACTTTCCATCATGTACATAAAAAACTGTTTTAAGTCTAATAAATTAAATTTATAAATATAGCAACTTTCATGTTCTCTTAAATGTTGCACCATTAGTCAAATTTTCCCATACCTTTTAACCTCAAATTACAAGCAGACTTCTGGTTACAGCTAAGATGGAGAAAGCACAATTCACCTTCTCTCTCACTGATTATAAATAAAAACAGACACAAGCAGCACTCTCTAAAGACTGAAAATATATGGTGGGTTGGGAAGACAAATAAACATTCAAAGAATAACCATTATGGCAGGAAGTTTCTGGGTTTTATTCTTTCCATATCTTTGAGCTGGGACTTTACAGGGCCTGCACAATCTACAACTGTGCAATGGGCACAAATTAAAAAAGTTCTCTTTCTGGCCAGAGGACTGGGGATAGGAACCCTACAGGATAGAGACATGGAGGAGAATTTAAAATTTTTTCTCTTTTACTCTTCAGGGCTGCTGCATGTAAAGCCCCAATCATGAAGCCATATTCCTTCAGTGCTGGTGGCACAGGACATAAAACTCTGAGAAAATCATTCTTTCTAGCTGAAGAAACAGAGAAAATGGGACCCCATGAAAGTATGGGGGGGATTCTGATAATTTTATCTCTTATTTCATTGCTTTATTTTGAAAGTGAATATGAGATGTGTGACAGTATGGGGAGGCTAAAATCATAGATTTTTAGTCCAAGGACTAGGAGTAAGGCCTCTGAGCATCAGAGAGTGGGAGGGGTGGCCATGGGGAACTGGAGAAAGAACTTGCTTCAGTCTGCACATGAAGTTTTAGACTCACCCTTGAGTGTTGAATGCATAGAACTGACCCAAAGCAGAAGGCAAGTCAGGACCTGTGGTCTGAAACAAATAAGATTGATTACATAAGATTAAAAATGTCTCAAATTAGTCCACATTCAAAGAATCAGCAAAATCTGTACTCACAAAAGAAAACACAATTAGCAGATGCTGACCTCAAAATGATCCAGGTAGTGGAATTATCACACAAAGACATTAAAGCAGCTGTTAAAATTATAGTCTGTAAAATAAGGAAAACTGATCCTGATATGATAGAAAGATAGAAACTCTCAGAAAAGAAATAAAACTACTTTAAAAATTAAATGAAATTTTTATAACAAATTTTAATAATCAAAATTGTAAAACTCACTTTGTAGGCTCAATAGAAAAACTTGAATGACAGAGGAAAGTGAGTGAACTTGAAAATAAATGAATAAAAATAATCTGGACAGCAGAAAAAATATTTTTAAAAGGGAATAGATTTTCAGGGACTTCTAAGACAAAATTAAAAATCTGACATTTATGTCAGATAGAGAGGAGAAAAAGTTTGGTGCAGAAAAAATATTTGAAGAAACTTCTAAATTTGGTGAACAAACAAATTTACTAGAGGCCCGGTGCACAAAATTCGTGCAGGCAGGGGGGGGGGAGGTCCCCCTTAGCCCGGCCTGCACCCTCTCCAATCCAGGACCTCTTAGGGGATGTTTGATTGCTTCTCACAATCCAGGACTGCTGGCTCCTAATTACTCACCTGCCTGCCTGCCTGCCTGATCACCGCTAACCCCTCTGCTTACCTGTCTGATCTCCCCTAACCACCTCTGCCAGCCTGATTGCCCCTAACTGCTCCCCTGTAGGCCTGATCACCCCTAACTGCTCCCCTGCTGGCCTGATTTCCTTTAACTGCCTCTGCCTCATCCTGCACCTGGGACCCAGAATTCCCTTCTCTGGCTGGTCACAGGCACATGGAATCCAGGCTTCCCTTCCTCTGGCCAGCCACAGGCACCCAGGACCCGGGCCAACTTCACGTGGGCTGGCTGCAACTACAGGGGACCGTGGGAAGGCAATTTTATCCTAGCCTTAGTTGCAGGCACCTGTAACTGAGGGGTGGGTGGCTTGTCCCTCTCCAAGGTTGCAGCCACAGGTGCTGGTGCCCAGGACTGTGGGGCCAGCATCTTGTCTCTCTCTCAGACCGCAGGCACAGATGCAGCCACTGGTGCCTGGGACCATAGGGATTATGGGGATACAGATTGTCCCTCTCCCAGGCTGCAGGCACAGGTGCAGACACTGGTGCCCAGGACCATGGGGTGGGCAGCTTGTCCCTCTCCTTGGCCACAGCATGGTTGGTCCCCATTCCTCTCTTGTGAGCTCATTTATTCCTGGCTGGTCCCCATTCCTCTCTTGTGAGCTATTTTGTGCCTGACTGGTCCCCATTCTTTTCTCCCTAGTGTTGAGTGTCTGAGCTGTTATGGTGTGACAGCATGACGACCATTTGCATATTAGCTCTTTATTATATATGATAGATTCAAGAAGCTCAGGAACCCCCCCTTAAAAAGGATAAACTCAAAGAAAAACTGACTGAAATATATCTTATCAAAACCTTGCTGAAAATCAAGGATAAAGAAAGAAATTTAAAAACAGCCAGAGGAAAATACTAGCAAATTCAATAAATTAGTACATTTAAAAAAATACATAACAATCCAGTAGGACTCATTCCAGAGGTACAAGGATGGTTCAACAGCAAATATGATCAATGTAATATACTTCATTAACAAACAAAAAATAAAATCATATGATCTTATTAATACCCTGTTTCCCCCAAAATAAAACATCCTCCAAAAATAAGACCTACTTACAGGTTTCCTTCTGAGTGAAATATAAGGCATCCCCCCGAAAATAAGGCCCCCCCTAGGCTCTGTCTCAGAATGAAAATTAATTTACTGTAAACTCTTTGCTAGGGCAGCTCCGACTGGCATCTAGCAACCAGTGACTTTACGCGGAGTCCTGATGTCACTGCTGTGTGGAGGCGGAGCAAAGGTCAGAGTGAGCGGTGAGCGCGGGGTGGGAGAGAGGAGGAGACTTTTGCAGATGCGTGTAGAAGAACAGGAGGATTAGAGCGGACAGGATGTGGCGAAGGTGGTGAGTGCTGGTCTGTCTCTGGTGACACTACCTAATGCTCACGGCCGCCCCCATGATGACTGAAGGTTCTCAGTCAGTGGCAGACCCTGCTCCAGCCCAGATCCAGGCCCCAGCAAGCCCAGTGACAGTCCGCAGGCAGGCCCCAGGGGGTAAATGTCTGATAAAGGGGTAGGGGGGATGTCTGGTGAAGGTGTTCAGTGGCACAGGGGTGGGGGGAGGGGGATCACTTAAAATGACACAGGAGGATCAGAGGGGGCAATCAAAATGACACAGGAGGATCAAAAGGGGTTACTAAAATAGTAATCCCCCTCTGATTCTCCTGTGCCATTTTGATTCCCCCCTGTAATCCCCCCTGTGTCATTTTAAGTGATCCCCCTCCCCCTACCTTGATACCTCAATTCCTTTTTTTTTTATCCCTAGAAATGAGCGCAAAAAGAAAAAGCTACAAGAGTACAAGAAAGAAATCATGGAAGACTCTTGGGGCCAAAATCTTACTGCTTTCTGCAAAGAGAAGATGTTGAGTATCCAATTGGTCTGAAAAGGGCGAGCAGGGTATGGTAACCTCATTGAACAAGTGGACAAGGGAAATGCTAAAAAGCACAAGTGTGGATCAGGTCAGCAACCATTATTTTCCGAGCTGGAAGACCTGATCTGTGAATGAGTTGTTGATAAGAGAACAGAGGCTTTGGTTGTAAATAGGGCTCAGATTCAAGAATTTGCCCTTGCAATGGCACCGCAGTTTGACATAGCCCCTGAAGACTTCAAAGCATCACAACGCTGGCTGGATAATTTTCTTCAGCAAAGTGAACTGTCTTTAAGAAGATCTACCGGTACAACATTGTTTAGGTTGGAAGATGCTCAAATTATTAAGCAAGCACTTGCATTCAAGTTCTTTATTGATGATGCTGACTTCTCTAAATACAATCTTTCCAACATGATTGCTATGGATGAAACTGCAGTGTTTATGGGCCAATCATCTCAACAATTGAACAGCGGGGTGCCTCCTTCGTGCCTCCTTTCCTCCACTGCTTACGAAAGTGCACGTGTTTCCTATATTTTGGCAATTTGTCTGGATGGCACTAAAATCCCACCTTTAATCATTTCTAAGGGCAAGAAGGAAAAGATTGAACGTGTTTTAGGCATTTTTATTCTTGAAACTGAAAAAGCCTGGGCCACACAAGCAGTTACAAGGAAGTGGGTCGATTTAATGCTGCCGCTTGTTATGCGAGGGAGCCAAAGAGGTCTGCTAGTCTGTAATGTAGCCAGCACTCACCACACTAAAGACATGAAGACATCTTTTCACGTAAGAAAAATAGATCAGATAATGATTCCTGCAGGAATGACGGCCTATCTCCAGACTCTTGATATTGCAATAAACAAGCCATTCAAAGACAATTTGCGCATGGAAATTAATGACTACATTGAAAATAGAATGGAGAGAAATCAGTGTGGAAACTTTGTGAAACCTAAACTGCAAGAAGTTGTGACTTGGGTGAAGAATTCATGGGAGAAAATCACTGACAGTTTCATTGCAAATGCACTGTGAGCAGGCTACCTTGACAAGAAGTACTCATTTAAAGACAGTGCTATTACTAAACATGAGAGATTTGGTTCACTGATTTTGAAAGAAATGGAGTCACAAGAAATTCACCAGGAAATTCAGGAATTGGATTGTTATGATGATGTTTCAGAAGATGATGACATGATTGTTATTGAATGAATGAGTAAATTCTTGATACTGTAGGATTCACAGTTTGTCTGGTTTGTGTTGACAACTGCCGTACTACCGTACCATATACAGGTAATAAATTTCCTTTATTTTCATTTAACAATAAATGTGTACCGTATTCTTCTTCATGAAAAAATAAGACATCCCCTGAAAATAAGACCTAGCGCATCTTTGGGAGCAAAAATTAATATAAGACACTGTCTTATTTTGGGGGAAACAGGGTAGATGCAGAAAAAGCATTAATAAGATACAACATATATTTATGATTAAAACATTCAATAAAATGGGTATACAGCTTTAGACCACACCAAATTACAACTCTACCGACATCTATAAGCAACACACTTAAGGAGTGGACTTGGTAAAGCCCCCCTGAAGCCAGTCCTACTCCATAGGGATTTCCTGCACAGCAGCTTTTCTATTGTAATTTCAGCTAATCTTCACAGCCAATTGACCTGGGGATCAATTCCTTTCAGTGATGCCAACAGCAATCAAGGCTCAACTACACAGCCCAACAGGGCACAACTAGAGTGCTCATCTTAGGTGACTAGGGAGGCTGAGCCCCTGGGCCCTACGGGACACCTACTATACAAAGCCACTCTACCAATTCCAGGGGACATAACAGTGCTACCTAATTCATAGAAACAAACACAGGGAAGCAGCCAACATGTGGAGACAAAGAAACATGTCACAAATGAAAGAAATGGAAGCAAGCAAACTACTGGATACAGAGTTCAAAACCATGGTTATAAGATTACTCAAGGATCTTAATGAGAGCTTCAAGGGACTTAGTGACACTTCCAAGGATTATAGTGAGAATGTCAAAGGGTGAAAAAGGATCAGTCACAAATTAAGCATATACTAACTGAAATAAAGAATAATTTACAGGGATTCAACAGTAGAATAGAGAATTCTGAAAATAAAATCAACAATTTGGAACAAGGTGGAGGAAAAAAAAACACCCAATCAGAAGAGCAAAAAGAAAAAAATTTAAAAATATGAAGATATTGTAAGGAGCCTCTGGGACAACTTTAACTGTACCAACATTTGTATTATGGGGGAGCCAGAGGAGAAGAGAAGGAGCAAGATATTGAAAACCTATTTGAAGAAATAATGACAGAAAACTTCCCCCACCTGGTGAAAGAAATAGACTTATAAGTCAGAAAGCCCAGAGAGTCCCAAAAAAGAGGAACCCAAAGAG